GTTCCGACGATGAGCGAGGGCACATTCTTCGCTGTGGCTGCCACGACGGACCCAAGAAGGGCTAGGAGATTGAGGCACACAACGGTCCACCTGCGACCGAAGATGTCCATCGCTCGGCCACACACGGGCATGCTCACTGCTCCTGTCAAGTTGAAGACGATGGCTGCCCAGGTAATGTCGACGGACGGGCCAATGGCACTGTTGATGTTCATCAAGATGGGTGCTGCGAAGCTAAACCCGCCAATTCCGCTTATGGCGGCCAGGTTTCCAGCGACACATGTCCCCAGGAACCTCCAGCTATAGTAGTAGCCCTTTGGAAGTGCCGCTTCATGAGACTGAAACCCCACGATTTCGCGATTCGCGGTCTGGGCGTGGGTCTGGGCGTGGTCACTAACGACGTTGCCATGACCTGTCTCGACTTCATTCTTCTGGTCAGACATCGTTGTCGACATGAGCTTGACTGAGGCCCAGGCTGTGAGGGTTGTCTCAGGGTGATGGGGAATGTAATGTTTTGATGGCCTTGATAGCTTCGAGGGAGTATCGAATCTTTATGGCCGAGCAGGATTCAGTTCCTGGGTGAGGAGGAGTGGTTCATACAGACCTTCTGCCAGCTTCCCAGCGTCTCAAGTGCTGTATATATCGATGCTACAGACGCTGCAGTCTCTACTAGTGTTGAGAGACGACCTCGGTCTCGGCATCAGGGACTGTCTAGGGCCATCTCTCGCTTCCCTGCATCGTTAAAGTGTAATTGGGCCAATATCATGCAGTGCTTGGCCAGAACATGTGGAGTTCCAGCGTCCCGACTGAACGGAAAAGATCCTGGGGCTCCACATTTCCCCAGGATTCTGACTAACCCCGTTGCCTGCCTCGTAACTGCGCACACCCGGACCGAGGTGCGTGTTCTCATTGGTCCGCTGGAGCGACACTTTTGTCTGTGCTTGCTTGTCCCACCTGGCTGTTCTGAGGCACCTGACTGATCTGATACTGGTACCTTGGAGCATTTTCGTTACCAATTCAATGCAAGCTCGAAAACACCATGTACTGTCCATGTCTGATTTTTATGGTCATAGTTGACGAGCAGAGATAGCCTCTAGTAATCCATTGTGGAGGCTAGCTATGTATCTAGGCCAAAAATACCTACCTGCCCTTTTGTTGAGATGAACACTATCTCCCATGTCATCTCGTCCAAAGGAGCTGATGGCCTTGCTCCTCCTGAATCTCATCGTTATGCCCTGGGCTGTGCCGACCTTTGACTGAACTTGATGAGGTCTTCTGGAGAAGTGTCTTTGCTGTAGCCACCTCCCAACACGTATTCAGCGGCAGCATTCGCGTACTCGGGATCCGTCCGGTAGATGAGCTCACTGCCACTTATCTCCACGGCTTGGCCAGTGATGGACTCGTCATCAAGAAAGCTTTGGATGACCTGCACAACCAACGAGGGAGGAACAATCATCTCCGCTGGAGCGTTGTCGATGAATGGCCCTGCAGTCATTGGAGTATCCACGAGCCCGGGGCATATCACGTTGGCGGTGATGTTTTCGCCAGATTTCCGCAGTCTCTTGGACAATCCTCGAACAAATGCAACAGCCTAGCAAGTCAGTTGTCCAGAACGGTACCGGAAAAGGGACCAACTGACCCCAAATTTCGCCGCGCTGTACAGCGGGTGTGTGTCGGAGGAGTATATGCCTGCTTGGCTACTGGTGACCACGAGCCTTCCGTAACTCGAAGGCCTTTTCCGGAAGTATTGTAGCGCAAGCTTTGCGGAGTATATAACCCCTACGAGACAAACGTCAATCACAGATGTATCGGGCGTAGTCGATTCAGTCGCCTCTGGTTGTGCTGCTGGTGGTGCAAATTCTTCCCGTTCCGATATGCCCTGAAATGCAGTTAGACTCCCCAGGATATGATGTGAGAAAGAGTGCAGACAATAATCTCACCGCGTTGGCAAAGACTGAGGATTGACTCTGTGTGAGTCTGGATCTCTATTTGTAGTGTCAAGGTCCTACGCACCTAAGTCGATTCGACCCCATTTCTCAAACGTGTCGCGGAAGGCCCTTGCCTGGCTCTGGTAGTCTGTCACGTCGCCCTGGATGAACAGCACTCTCTCCCCGAGCCGAGTGGCCTCCCGTTTCCCCGCGGTGGCATCAAAGTCGAAGATGGTTACATTCCACTGATGCTGCAATAGATGCTCTACGACAATAAGGCCCAGGCCGGATGCTACAATGAATAGTGTCAATGATTAAGATTCATTTGAGAAGAATATTAGTCCTTACCACCTCCGGTAACCAACGCGGCTCGGTCGCCATCGGAAGCCATGCTCTTTGAATTGTAAAGTGGCAGATCTCGTGTAAAATATACCTTAACGTGATCCTAATGCTGCCAAAAGAACACTGACCATTAGACAAAGAAATACACGGCATGTCCAAGCCCAAGTTTATGACTGCATTTTATGCTGCATCAAATCTGGAGTCGTGCAAGGCTAACCGAGCTACAAAGTTTGGCCGGCGAGCCAATTGGGGCAGGATTAGGGTTAGATGGGAGTCGAGCACTGGGCAAGATCACTCGTTCACATGGTTCGGGAGCCCTTTTTTCATTATTCGAGTCAGTAGAACAACTGGCCGAGGTGAACATGAGTCTCCACCGAGGCAGCGCATCTTGTTCACCCAAGCATAAAACAAACAATGATATATCAAGGTCGTATTTCTGGCATTCTGTGAGTCCGAAGAAACAAGTCACCAAGTTCAATTCCACTTCTAGCCTTGCAAGCCATCCTCAACTCTGTCATCATGTCGCCCGAGTCTCAAGCCATCGTTGATGTCTTCGGCTTTGCCAGACAAAGAATGATGGAGAATCCGAATATGTCGGCCCGCGAAGGCCGATTGTTCATTGAATCTTTTGGTTCGCTTGCCAGCGAGCCTACAGAAGTGACGTACGAAGAAGTCCAATGCCCTGGCTCGACTGGGCCAGCTATATGGTGCAGACCAGCATCTGCCGACCCCTCCCACATCATCCTTTATCTGCACGGTGGAGCTGGGACCGGAGGATCTCCCTCGAGTCACCGGAAACTTGCTGGACATCTAGCCAAAGTCGCATCTTGCGTTGCACTTTTGCCAGATTATCGACTTGTTCCCGAGGATCCGTTTCCAGCGGGGTTGGAGGACTGCCTCGCGACATACAAATGGGTCCTGGATCAAGGATTTAAGCCGTCGCGGATTGCAGTAGCAGGAGACTCTGCAGGTGCCAATTTAACGGCTGCCCTGCTGTTGAAGCTGAAGGAACAGGGACTTCCATTTCCCGGGGCGGCCGCCCTCTTGTCGCCATGGCTTGACATGGAGAACCTGGGCGAATCGCGACAATTCAATTTCGAGCATGATGCTCTCGCCGGCCTTGCGACAGCTTCCACGGCACTTTACTGCCAGGGGACATCGCCCAAGAACCCATTTGCAAACCCCTTGTACGGAGACTTTACGGGGGCGCCACCACTCTTTGTCTCGGCCGGCGGGTGGGATACTCTGCTGAGTGATGCACTTACGTTGGCCGAGAAAGCGAAGGCCGTTGGAGTTGACGTGACGCTTCAAGTGGCACCTGAAATGCAGCACGACTACCATTTTATGGTTGGTCGAGCTCCTGAGGCAACGGAGACGGTGACCGAGATTGGTCGTTGGATTGCTGGAAAGCTTCAGTAAGCTGTGTTGGCCGAATTGAACTTGTCCAGGGTCACAGATAGACAGTGCCTTTCACAAACTTGAATATGGTGCTACAAGCTACGAAATCCACGGCATCAACTCCCAAGAGCTTGTATAAAGGCATATAGAAATTACTGTTCGCTCCTGATGCTACCATTGCGAGCATCTACCCTGATGAAGAGTATACATCACCTCAACCTCCTCAGTCAGACCTCCTTACCCTTTCATTTAGTGAGGGTTCTCGTGTTTACTCAAAGCCAAAAACTCCTAACCTCCTTAAAGTCAAAGGACTCAGGAGATTGCGTCTATCCATTGCGCGGGGGACCAGCCCTCAAGGAGCATTGACAAAGCAGAAGTTCGAGACCTGACTCAGTGAATAGAGCTCAAACGCTGCGTCATCGCTTTGTTCTCGGCCACAAAGGACCCAGCAAACAGCTCCCTCGTGATACACCGTTCTGAAGTCGAAGAGCTACACCGAAGCCATGAAGACCTCGGTAACTACTTGGATTGGCTGATAATCCCCCCGTCCCCACCCCCACCTCCTGGGGCCTCCTTCCCAAGACCCATTAACCTTTTTCTCTACCGAGGACATCGCATCTCGGAGTTCAAGGGAAAGGGAATTGGTGCGGGGGTGCGGAGGGCGGGGGTCTTGCGGAGGACTGGTTATGCCTGTACTGGCTTCCACGGGCATGCGAGGGTGGTGGTGTGATGGCGGGATCCTGCAGGAGACCTAGACCTGTACTCGGTATGCAAGTCACTAACAACCCAGACAAGGATCCTCGCACATTACACCGTGGGGCTAGTCGCTTCAGTAAGGCCAGCGATCGTATTGGTCGCACGGGATGTCTTGGGAGTGCCGCAAATCCAAGGTGTAGAGTCAATTCTTTGAGATTGGGACTCTTGATGAGAAGCGAAAAACACTTTGCACACCTGGTATGGCTTTCAGCGTCCATTTTTGGGCTTGAATACTGCTCGAGGCCCGCTTCTGACAAATCCTAGTCCGCTCATTTGAGCATCACCAAAGGGCTTCTCAAGGATGAGCACTCTCGAAGATAGTGAGGCACAATCTTCAACACCGAACCCCGTGGCTGGGACTGATCGGGCTCCCCAACGACCAGACGATACAGCGTCTGGGTCTATGTTTCCACGCAGGCGTGCGGTGGTAGCCTGTGAGTCTTGTCACGGCCGCAAGGTTCGTTGCAACATTGTACAGTTCGGCCCTCCCTGCTGGAACTGCCGACAAGACGGGAGAAAATGCATAGTCCCTCCGACAAAAGCTCGCGGGTACGGTTTTGTCGCTCCCTCCAAGTCGATATGACTTCAAAACCGGCTGAATATGCCTCGTTTTTAATTCAAGCGTCTGACTATGTACTCTCTGATAGGCATAGGAGGGGGCGAGTGCAGCGTGTCCCGACAGACAAGTCTGCATCGACGGGGGACACGTCCGATCTCATGGAAATGTCCGCGCCGACAAGCGACATTTCTAAGAATGCCGCCGTCGACGAACTTCGGGGGGTCTCAAAACAGTCGTACCAAACAATTCAGCCTCCACGGCCATCCACAGGCACTGATGCATCGCCCTCAGAGGTGCCTGGAAGTAACGTCGAGACATCCGATGGCACAAGTCTTCCGGGTAGCGTTACGCCAGCCCAGGAATGCGACGAAGGTTACAACGGAGCAGCCTATACCGATGCTATGAATAACCGCCGGGCGCAGTCCGCCCTGCCGCTCTATCTTGGTGAGTTAGTATCTCTGTCCTCTTTGAGAGTATCATCTAATATAGTGCATTTGCAAAAGGGGAGCCACACGTCCTGAGCTTTGTGATGGATGTCTGTCAGTCAGAGCATCAGCATCACTACCTGGTTCCTCGTGCTGCTGCACGTGCTCTACCCCCCGATGACTTGGCCTTTCTGAAAGCGAAAGGCTGTTTCTCATTACCAGTCTCGAGTGTCTCTAACAAGCTCTTGCAACACTACTTCCACTACGTGCACCCCTTCCTCCCTATTGTGGATGCACATACCATCCTCACTCAGTATCACCAAAAGTCCGCGCAGCAAGTGCACCTACTTCTATTATGGAGTATGCTTTTTGCGGCGGCTAGTGTAAGACCAGTTCTCTACCCCTTTACCGGTGTCAAGTCTGTACTAACTATGTCCAGTTTGCGGACCCCGAGCTTGTGCGTGAAGCTGGCTATACGTCACGCAAAGCAATGAAGCATGATCTATACCAGCGAGCCAAGGTTGTTCAATGCATCTCTTTGCTGTCAGATCCAGTCTTCTTAGTGTCATTGTACTGACGGCTCGTCCCCACCTAGTCACTGTACAATTTCGAGTATGAGACCGACAAGACTATCTTGATCCAGTCCACCATTCTTCTCGCATATTGGTTCAACGACTCCGAAGACCGCACAGGAAACTGGTACTGGATTGGCATCGCCATCAGCCTCTGTCATTCAATTGGCATACACCAAGATACGCAGAATCCGTCTTCCAGGACCTCAAGCTTACCACAGACACAGCATGTTTTGTGGAGGCTCATCTGGTGGTCCTGTTACTTTCGGGAGACGTGGATCTCGTTTGGGATGGGACGGCCTATGCGCATCCATCTCCAGGATTGTAACGTTCCCATGCCTAGTGTCGACGACATCATGCTACTTTGTGGAAAGAACGATACCCCTCAGGCGCGGTTCTATCTACCTAACGGAACTCGAGCCCTTGCCCGCTGCTGGCTCAAGATATTACATCTGAGTGCTACCCTGGACTGCATTCACCTAACACATTATAAGCCAAATCGAGCCAAGGCTTCTACGAGCGAAATTCTAAACGATCGAGAAAGGGTTCAGAAGTGCTCACAGATGTCTCTGGAAGGGGTGGCCGATGACGAAGACCCGGTGGTGCAGCTCGTGTCTTATCAAGTACAAGTCATTGAGCAGTAAGCCCCCTACCAACTCCGCCTCGAGCTCTGATTTGGCGACGCTGCAATGACTAACGGCTTCCGGTCTTCCACAGTTCCGTCTATATAGCATTGTACCGGCCGTACCTCTTCGCCTCTCCTTCCGACCTGACGCCGGATCAGTTCAAGGTGTGGCGTCCGACAATCCTGAACAAGATCTATACCGCCGCATCCGCAGTGACTATGATCTTGACAAACCTCAGTCAAGCCGGTCTTGTGGACCGTGCTCACTCTATCTTGTAGGCGCAGCCCTCTCCCCACCAGATTCATTCGCCGAAACAACCTCCTAATTACGTTTAATACTAGGGTTACGGCGATTGTCCCCGCCATGCAGATGCATTTGTACGGTTCTGTATCTTCACAAGGGCTGGGAAAACAGATGAGCGCCTATCAACTGGAGGTCTGTATGACCATCATGGCCGAAATGGGCAAAACATTCTGGCACGCCAGCATGACCCACAAAATCTTTTGCGAGGCGGTTCGCAAATTGAAGGACAAGGCCAGCTGCAGTTCCGGCACCGTCCGGCAGCACGGCGGGCCGATGAGCTCCTCGATGCAAGACCAGGAGCCTTCAACGTCCGTCTCAGTCGAAGACGTCTTTTGCGAACGCCACAATCAGTCAACAGATCCCTCGGACACCGAGATTATTTCACTCTTCACCGAGGACTTTTTGTTTCCCCCTGACGATGGCATGTCATCCATGGCCTTTCAAGAGTCGGTATGCCAGTAAGTTCTTTACACCCAGGTCAACGTCCTTGAGCTCGTGAAAACGGCTCTTGAGATTTTTGTACGGTAACTCGAAAGACTTACAATGCCAATCTTAGGTACGAGCCTGGGTGGGATTTTGAGACCAACACATTCATGGGTTCACCAGACATATTGAACTTCGCCGACCCCGAGGACGAACATACAGTAGGGACACGAAGGGCAGATTGAGCTGTAGTCAAACGTTCAGGGGAATGGCTCCCCGCCTCTGAACTGAGGAATATGATGTGAGATACGTGTAATATGACCAAATAGGCGAGTCGATATGAGCAGAGGGATCTTTACACCTTGCACGCGGACTCAGGTAAGAGTCAATTGCCATCAACTTTCAGTGGCCGTAATGGTTAAAGTATAGCCTATCCTGCAGACCGTGTGATATCAGCATCTAGACAAAGAGTCACCTCTACTCCCGCGCTGAATTTTTCAATATCACATACAGTTCTGGGAGATGGTCTGTCACAAAGACCACTTCATCTCGCAGGAATCTCCTGGCTCTGGGTGCAGCGCTTTCGAAACACGGTACCAGTACCACATAGATTGCGATACAACACTTGCACCCAAAGAGGAAATGCGAGAGGTGGGTCTCAAGGTGAGTCTGTTGACTCTTGATTCGCTGCACATAGACGTTAATACTCCGAACTCCCTCTGGAGGTGTGGGCACGACAACCTGGCCTCACCTGACGGGTAGCGAAAGCGCGCGCGAAGTGCAACAATTAAAAGACACCGAGGTTGACCGTATTGTGCAAACTTGTGCTATATACATACTGAAAAGTTTCACGGCGTCCTCGCTGCCGGGAAAAGTGGCTCAAACCTCGGTGGGGTCGCCAGAAACTCGCAGCAACCACTCAGCGCCCATACCTCGGCCGACATCCAGGTCTATTAAAAACAAGGCTTAACAGGTTCCAATACAGCGCACAGGTAGGCAAAAGAACACAGCACAGCAACAGCACAGCACAGCACAGCACAGCACAGCACAGCCATCGACTCTTTTTTTCCCCCTTACTCTCCTGGCACCTGTTAGAGCCTAATCCGAATTCACAATGACAGAGATCTTTTTGCCCGTCAACCTACCCCAGGAGGATGTCAAATCCAAATCGGTGGTCGCGACAACAACAACAACAACAACAACAACAACAACAACAACAACAACAACAACAGAGCTTCAACGCGAGAATGGCCACCCGGCAGCTTCTGATGTCGATGCCAGGCTACAAAAGTACGCCACTGAGAGTAAGAAACGTTTCAGGTCGGACGGGAATGCTCAATTCATCGATCTGGCCACGTCGGACATTTATCGCAACTTCTCGGAAGACATCTGGGCTAGAGAGGTCACCGACGACCCTGGTGTGAATTCCGTCACGGATGGTTCACGCTGCGAGATTCTGATTCTCGGGGCAGGATACGGAGGGTTGCTGGTCGCGGCTCGACTCATCCAGTCGGGAGTGGACGTCAACGACATCCGCATGGTAGACGCTGCAGGAGGCTATGGGGGAGTCTGGTGGTACAACCGCTACCCGGGCCTCATGTGCGATGTGGAAAGCCACATCTACCTGCCGCTCCTGGAGGAGCTGGATTACATGCCAAAGAATAAGTATTCCTACGGCACTGAGCTGAGAGAGCACGCCCGAGCCGTGGCACAACATTTCAATCTCGTGGACAAGACTCTGTTCCAGGTAAAAGTCATCAGCACGGCATGGAATGAAAGCACCAAAGAATGGACCACCAAGCTCCAATCCACGCGAAAAGGACACGAAGGATTCCTGAATGTCCGGTCCCGCTTGACCATCGCGGCCGGTGGCAATCTCAACTGGCCGAAGATTCCCAGGATACCGGGCCTGGACAAGTTCAGACCAAAGGCCTTTCACACGTCCCGCTGGGACTGGGACTATACTGGCGGATCCGAGCTTGATCCTCAGCTCGTCAACCTGAAGGATAAACGAGTCGCCGTCATCGGCACTGGCGCGACGGCCGTGCAGGCCATACCTCACCTAGCACGGTGGGCCAAACACTTGTACGTCTTCCAGCGAACCCCTTCGGCGGTGGACGTGCGCGGCCAGTCCGAGACCGACAGGGCTTGGTTCGAGAAAGAGGTGCGCAGAAAACCAGGCTGGCAGAGGGAGAGGATGATGAACTTCTGCGCCTTTCTCGCCGACGCAACACCTCGACCAGAAGTCGACATGGTCGCGGACGCCTGGACGAAATTCCCCACCTACTCGAGCCTCACGGGTGGACCGAACGTGCCGCGGATGGCGGAGGATGTTCCCTCTTACGTCGCAAGGATGAACGAGATAGACCTCCAGAGACAAGAAAAGATCCGGGCCCGAGTCGACGACATCGTCAAAGACAAAGCCACGGCGGAGAAGCTCAAGGCCTGGTATCCCGGATGGTGCAAACGGCCATGCTTTCACGACGAGTACCTCGATACCTTCAACTTGCCCAACGTCACCCTTGTCGACACCGACGGCCGCGGGGTGGATAGTTTCTCAGAGAACGGACTGGTGTTCAGAGGAGAGGAGTACGAGGTCGATCTTCTCGTGTTCAGCACCGGCTACGAGGTCGCGCTGAACACGAGCCCTGCAAGTCGCGCCCACATGGAGATCTATGGTCGGGACGGTCTGTCGCTGAACGACAAGTGGCTACATGGAGCCGCCACGCTCCATGGTGTCCAGACCCACGGGTTTCCGAACATGTTCTTCATTGGACTGACTCAAATTGGACTCACTCCCAACATCACAGTGATTATGGACTATTTGTCTGAGCACATCGCCTCCATTCTCGTCGATGCCGCCGCCACGGCTAAATCGCAGACCGACGAGGCTTCCTCAAACACAAAATATCCTTTTGTCATCGAAACCACCGCCGAGGCAGAGGAAGATTGGACGCAGCAAATCGCCGCTGGTGCGTACGTCTATGCGACGATGGCCCAGTGCCCACCGAGCTACTTCAACGGCGAGGGAGAGGCTCTGCGCATCGCCGCCGAGGGAGTTGAATCCCAGCGGAAACTGGCGAGACTGGGCGCTTGGGCGCGAGGTTTTGACGACTTTGTTCAAGTCCTTCGGCGGTGGAGAGAGCCGCATGACCTAAAAGGTCTGACGGTGACGGCCATCTGACGAATACAAAATAGACAAGAATCGTCTAGCTAGCTAGCTCTACGTTCGTGCGAAAAGACGGTAGCTCCTGCTCTTTATGCTCCCGGGAATGAGCCATGATAGATCCAACCCAGCAGGTTTAAACAGAGCAAGCCGAAAAGCCGAGAATATACTGCAGTCTACCCGAGCTGAAGAGCCTATAGCCACTCATTCAGACTACGTAGGACATACTAGTATGCAGTATGATTGCGCACTCTCCAAGTTGACTTTCGAAGCTGGATGGAGCCAATAGTGCGCCTAAGCAAGCTAGGCTCTATGTTCTCGGACCCCATACGAGACATTAGGCAGCCTCTGCTTAGCACGTTCACGTATGTAGACGATTGGGGTATAGAGCTAACTAACTCCAGAGATGGTCATAAAGCCTGTTACCATGTCCGGCCAGTGGGGGCCTAGTATGCCGGGGTATAAGAGTGGCTCCTCCTCTCCCCCTTTAGTTTCCGAAAATTCTGCATATAATATTAACCTGCTGCGTTGCACGATCCCAAGGTATACTCTAGGCTAGGTGTAGATAGATCTCCGCGTCCCATAGAAAACTTCCTTCACGGCTCCTTTGTATGTACCGCCTCAAGCGCTGCTAGACGACTCTCTCATGGTAACGACTCGGTACGATGTGGTCAACTCCAATAGAAGACTAGAACCAGGGTTGAAACTGATGATCATTGGCCGTATGTATGAAGACACTTCACAAAATATATTGCCCATCACTCAGAGAGTCTGGAGGCCTTTCCGGAACTTCAGGACTCATATACACCTCCCCCCATCGACCTCCATGCATATACCAGTAATGAAGGAAGCGTCATCACTCGCGAGGAAACTTGCGGCGTTGGCCACGTCTGTGCCCTCTGTAAACCTACCGAGAGGGATCGAGGCTAGAATGGGAGCGCGATTCTCCGCTGTGTCTGGTTTCCCTAGAACCTTGGGCAGCCTGCCAAAGTCGCACAATACACATCAGTTGAGGGATCCACACATCTTTCCCTTTTCTTTGACTCCTGTTCTTCAACATCGCGCGCCGTGCAGAGAGGATTGTGGACTCACATTGCAGTTTCTCCCAGGGCGGGGAGGATGGCATTGAATCGGATCTTGTTGGGGGCGTATTCCACACCCAAGCTCTTGGTCATTATGCTCACAGCGCCCTTGGTCGTAGAATACCATGTCACACCGGGTCTCGGTCTCGAGGCCCCCGTGCTCGACAGGTTGACAAAGTTGCCGCCTTCTCCGCGTTTCTGGAGATACGGGACAATGACCTTGCAGCTCCAGAAGAGGGACTTGACGTTGATGCGCATGAGACGGTCGAATTCTTCCTCCTCGACCTCGTGGCTCGGCGTGTTGTCGTAGATGACTCCGGCATTGTTGACGACGATGTCGAGCTTGCCGAATTTGTCCAAGGCCGCCTCAAGGGCCTTGTTCCACGTGTCTATCTTGGAGACGTCGCCGATGACGGGCACGACGCTGCCGTCCGGGTAAGCCTCGACCACGCTGTCCGAGAGTGCAGGGCTGATGTCCACAGCGACAATTTTGGCGCCTTCTCGGTGGAACTTTTTGGTAATGGCTACACACCGCATCGAAGTAAGCCGATTTGTTCAACAGGCATATCCATGGGAATAAGGAGGAAGGTAGTAAATACCCGATCCAAACCCCATGCCCGCTCCTGTTACCAAAGCAACCTTGCCCTGAAGCTGGCCCTGGCGAGGTGCTTCCACAGGGTTGGTATCCGTGCTTGCTGACATGTTGACAATAGGTCCTTTCTGTAGAATTCACAGTAATCCGCTGAAGAGTGATTTCTCTGGATCGCTTCGTCTCGAAATATACCACAGTATGCACAGTATGATATAATAAGTGCCTTATATTCGGTACCGAGATATGCGCGTTGGAGATGCTCTAAATCCCCCGGCATCTCCCCGCTGATTCCCCCACCCGAGAAAGAAATCCCGCCTTTTCTCCGGAGAGTCAGAGAGTTAGAGAGTCCCAATTGGAGAGGCGCGCCGAGTTCCGCGGTTGTAGATCTATTTTTCCACTTATGATCTCCCTTTCCTTTGAGAGGGATTTGGGGGAGAGGTCAAAGATTGCGGAGACGGGGAGAAGAGCAGCTCTCAAAAAATGCCACCGGAAATGTACCACCAGCTCTGGAGGCGGTGGCACAGTAGTAGTGGTGGTCCTTTTCAGCTGTAATCATGTTTTGATGTATCTGGAGCTCTCTTGGAATGCTCGCAGCTTCTCGTCCAGGGTCCTGGTGTTGGTGTAGGTGCTGCACACGATAAAGTCTGGGTCCCAACTCGTATCAATCGAGGAGAATCGTCACGACAAGAAAACCAGGCGACCCGTAGATTCTTCCTCGAAGCCAACATGCCTCAGAAATCTCCCTTTTCGATCACCATCCCCCCCACGGATCTCCTGACGTACCTCTTCCCCCCTGACGCAAAGCCTTCGACACAACCTCTGTACATCTCTGCCGACGAGCCTTCTCGATACGCGCTGTCGCCGGCCGAGACGCTCGTCTGGGTCAAGCGGCTGGCGCTCGGGTTCCAGCGGATTCTCGGGGTGGGTGGACGGACAGGGGAGTCGTCCAGGACCGGGTTCACCATCATGATGTTTACCCCGAACCATGTGTTTGTCCCTGTTTTCTATCTGGCTGCCATCGCCGCAGGGGGCATATTCAGCGGCTGCAGTATAAGTTTCGGTGTGCATGGTACGGCACTAAACCCACATTTTCCAATGGCTCGCTCACCCAAATCCAAGCCCCAACTCCACCCCCTTTATCGTTCATTTTGTGTAGTTATACAATTCTCTTGTTTTTTTTTTTTTTTCGCAGAATATAAAAATGACTGACAAAATGGCGTCCCACAGAAGCGACAACTCAGCTGCAAAACACCGGCACCGAGATATTCCTCGTTCACCCGAGACACCTCACCGTGGCTCTCGCCGCGGCAAGAAACGCGGGCTTGTCGAAATCCAGAATCTTCCTTTTTGACCAAGACCCTCAACCGGTGACCGAGGGGATTCGTGATTTCCGCTCCATCCTGGCGACCGTCGAGGACGCTCAAAAGTGGCAGTGGAGACGGCTGGATGGGGACGAGGCGAGAAACACCACAGCCGTGCTCAATTACTCTTCTGGGTAAGCCTGGCACATTCCGTCGCATGCATGCATGCATACATTCATTCATTCGTTCAAGGTCGTCATGATTGCGAAAGCTCTTTTCGAGGATGAACTGACTTGGGATCGTTTTCAGGACGACCGGCCTCCCCAAGGGCGTCCGGATCAGCCACACTAATCTGATCGCCAATGTGTCCCAGTCGATCTACATGCGGGATCTCGAACAGCCGTACACACCGGCCACGCGACCGCAAGAGCGCTGGCTGGGGTTTCTGCCCCTCTCCCACGCCTACGGGCAGCTGTGGACGATTCTCGCAGCGCTCAAGACGCTGTCGCCCGTCTACATCATGGCGCAGTTTCACTACACCGAGTTCCTCAGACACATCCAGACGCACGCCATCACGCACCTCCAGACGGCGCCGCCCGTGCTGGTGATGCTGGCCAAGCGGCCCGAGACGGAGCGCTACGACATTAGCTCGCTGCGCAACATCCTCTGCGGGGCGGCGCCGCTGAGCCAGGAACTGCAGAACGAAGTCACGGCGAAGCTGCAGGGCGGTCGCGTCGTGCAGACCTGGGGCATGACCGAGGTGACGTGCTCGGCGCTGCACATGCCGGGCGGACGAGACGACCGCAGCGGCAGCGTCGGCTACATCGACCCGAACTGCGAGATGAAACTGCTGGACGACGCCGGCGTTGAGGTCCCCGTTGGCGAACGAGGCGAGATCCACGTGCGCGGGCCCAACATCTGCCAGGGCTACTGGCGCAACGAGGAGGCGACGCGCGCGCTGTTCGACGCGGACGGCTTCCTCCGCACGGGCGACGTCGCCATTCGGAACGCGCAGGGCCTGTACTGGATCGTGGACCGCAAGAAGGAACTCATCAAGGTCAAGGGCCTACAAGTCGCGCCGGCCGAGCTCGAAGCCGCGCTGCTGGAGCACGAGGCCGTGGCCGACTCGGCCGTCGTGGGCGTCAAGCTCAGCGACGACGGCGACGAGGCCCCGCGCGCGTACGTGGTTCTGAAAGACCCCTTCCGGGGGAAAGTCTCCGCGGCCGCTCTCGCGCAGTGGCTGCAGGGCCGGGTGGCCAAGCACAAGCACCTCACCGGCGGGGTATTCTTCATCGACGAGGTCCCCAAAAGTCCCAGCGGGAAGATTCAGCGGAAACTCATACGAGAGTGGGCGGCCAAGGACTCGGCGCAGGATGTCGTCAAGGCGAGGCTGTGAAATCTTTTAACGAGATTGCCCTCGGATTGTGCGAGGGAGGTAGATAGGTAGGTAGGTTCCTAGGCTAGTTTACAGCGTGAAATGTTTCCGCATTCAACAAACAGGATGAATGGAGAAAATGGCAGATGATGCGTCAACCATTTTCATTTTGATAGGAGCATATCATTTTCCCTGTCCAGCTCTTCTGCAAGATTTCGCGCCGACGGAAATTGCTTAGTCCAGCACTTTTCGATGATGGAACCTAACCATACTCCGCTCGTTGACGGGAGAGAATCGCGTCGAGGCCAGGTCGTCGGGTCTCCGACCTGCTCCCAGTCTTGATAGATGTCAAAGGCACAACACTGGCCCGTTATCATATCGAACATGACCGCCCCGAACTGGCCAATATCGGTCCATGTCGAAAAGCCATTTTCATCACAGTCGTCGAGATCCCAGTCAAGCGGCATAAGAGAGCACTCGGAGAAGTCAACGAGCTTGATACGCATCTTCTCGTCAAAGACGACGTTGTCTAAACGGAAGTCGGCGATTATGACGTGGCGGGAATGGATGTGGGACATGGCGTGCGCCAGTTGGGTCATCCAGGATAGTAGCGTCTCTTTTCCAGGCCGCGTCGTCTGATCCAGATAATGTCTCAGGTCGCCCTCCATCAATGGCATCTGGATTGAGGGGTCGGGGGATTGAAGATTGTAGCAGCGAATGATCCCAGGGTGGTCGCCCAATCTTCTATAGATGGCCTTTTCGTGCTCGAAAGCCTTGACAGCCGTGGCGCGCTCGTCATAATCGCCTTCTCTGGAGGGTAATAATTTTCCAGAGTCGAAGGGAACTCCGTCAATCTTGATAATCTTGGATATTAGAGGTATTTTGTATGCGTACCCTCGTCGCAGGACGACAATGCCTGTCCCTCCTATTCCGATGATCTGTTCTCTCACAGTCGTGCCGTCAAGATAAACGTAGTTTGCTTCCATGGATGGTAATCGCATGCGTCGGAGGGAAGTGGCGAGATCTACTCAAATCCGCCGGTACCGCATGCTCGATTTTACTTGCGACGTGCTCGTTGGAAGGAGGGCTTTACCTTGACGATTTCGATTGCACCCTGTTAGCGCAGCTGACAAAGTACAAGTGTCAACCTCTAAATTATGATTGGGAAGTGATGAGATTTGAGCGAGGTATCCTTTCCGTTTCCTACCTAGCCCCGCCCCGGCCCGCGTCTGGACTCAATTGTTGTGAGACCAAGAGGTGGTATCGATATATGTGGGAGAGGCGTGGTCGATAGTAACAAGGATCGTCTGATGGAGGAGATGATATAATGTGTATGGTTGAGATCGCTGTGGCTGAACAAGGATGCTCTTCCTCCTCCCTTCTCTCTTTCTATGATCTCGTCCGTAGCCATTCTCAGGAATCGATCGTTCGTTGGGCAAAATCGACGGCTGTATCTAGGTAAAGGTGTCCGCAAGAGCAAAGCCGATAGCTAGATGGGGATGATTGAATGCAACTCAGGCACAAATCGAGGCCACAAGTAGAGCCGAGCCGCAGGTGACGCTGATCCGCAGGCAAAATCACTGAATCTGAACAATAGATGCTCGTGGGCAGAATAACGCTGGAAGGACTGAAAGGACTCGACCATCGAAGGGTAGGATGGTCTCTGTAACAAACGAGGCGGAGTTCACTAAGTGTGAGGGTAATAGACGGGTACTTATGCACGCGTAAGAGGCGTGTAGTTCGGTAAGAGTGTGACGAGAGTGTCTGACTGAGTAGTGTAGGAGCGTAGGTCTGGGGAGTCACTGTAGTAGCCTCCACGTGTTACACACGTCCACCTGTGTTACATACAGATATGGCATCTAGGTTACAAGGCCTTGAGGCATGGAAGCACCGTATTCGTGATTCATGATCTCAGTAAGCCTTTCTGCCTGCGCGCCAGGGCTATGGAGTTCCCTATGTGTTGTCTCCTTGCTCCCAGATCCCACTTGCTTGAAACTCTACAAAGTCGTCCAGCACTTAGCTAGAGAATACCCGTCGATCCATCGCCATTGCATGCCCAACATGTCGAATCCAAAAGGCTGCGGCTGCAAGATCGAGTATCCTGCTGCACGCCGCTGCCCGAATTGCACCAAATTTCCCAACACGCATGTCGCTTGCCTTTCAACGCATATCCCGAAGGAAAGAACCCACCGTTGTGGGCGGCAGGATGTACAAACACATACATTTGAGCGTGTTTTTCCAGCCTCGTCCACTCGACCTCGCGAAAACTGCTGGAATCATCGGTTCCCCGGTGGTTATTACCACAACGGACAATTCCACGGCCCGGTGCACATGAGGACAGGTTTCTGATGGACCACGCTCCCCAGTCGTTTGCAAGTGGTGACCGACATATACCTTGACCGCAATAATGTCAGATATGTCGTCACAGAGGAGGACTCGCATACAATGAAACGAGGGAGTGGAACATCCATTACCCAATCGAGGGGATTTGGCGGTGTCTGAATGCCGAATATCAGACTTTCTGATCATTGGTGCATCGCATTTTTCTTGCTTGACAACAGCATCCGTGCTCTTTCATCAAAGGACAAACCAGCGCTAACATTGTCAGCTGCCTTTTGCCAAAGCGAAAGGCACTGAGGTCTCCACGGAAAGGACCATGTGACACTACTGGAGCAATACAGTAATAACTCAACCGAAGTAGGATGGATCTAGCTTTGAGTACTAGCCCGAAGCGGCTCCTCCGAACGGGCTCCCTCGGAGTCACATACGTAATCCTGCTCGAGTGCCCTTGTTGTATACTCGTATAGCCCAAGACGTAGCTCCTACTGTGCTCTCCCGTACTCGGCCTAGCCGGATATGCGCGTACGCGGTCGATTCCAAGCAGCTTTACTCCTTTCATAGCCGAAGCATAGTTCGAGGCCGATATAATATGTAATATAGATATAGGTAGATAAGATAGATGGAAAATTCCACTATAAGCTAGGCATATATATAGCTTCCAGGAGTAGGAAATATGCATAACACAAAAGATAGATAGATACATACGTATTATACTATTGGTCATTGCCCATTAGACTCCCACGCTCCCCAGGTGTTAGTGCGCCGCTCTTGTCAGGAAAGCGAGTTACCTGCTCCACCACGGGCAGCCGTGCACGCTCTGCCTGCGGATCCTCCACGATGATGGAGCCATCCGCGGCCTGAGAAAGCGTGATCTCTCTCCGACCCTGAGTGGTGATCCAATCCTTAGTGGACCGCCTACTTCCTCCCGTGTCGCTGCGATATTTCTCCGAATCGGACTCGAACGGGTGAATATGGGTGTGACTGTCGAGGGTGGCGTGTGAGGTCATGAGGCGCCCCGGCGACGTCCGGTCCAGGTATCTGCGCATCTTGGCGGTGCCGGCTCGGCCCAGACACAAGACGACTAAGACGGCGACGAGGACGCACAGTGTGCCGAGGAGGGTCATGAATGCCGGAATGCCGTATACCATGTGATACCTGACGCGTCGCTCGAACACGGTCACGGGCATCAGGAGGGTCGGGTCCTCGTCACCACCTTGCGACGAGGAGCTGTCGTCGCGTTTCTGCAGGGATCTCTGCAGTGGCTGTTGCAGACTTCTCGTGCCGACGACCGAGTTCGCCGCCACGTCCGTCCAAATGAGATTCAGCATCCTGGCGGCGGTCGCAGGGGTGCGCGAGAGGTCTTGCCAGAGCCGATACATGGCCAGATTCGATCTGCCGGAATAGTCTGTAGTGCCCGTGCTTCCGTAGGAGGCGATGTCGTAGATTGCTCCGAGGGCATCGGCGTGAAAATCGAGGCCCGGCAGGTTCTGATAGCCAACAGACAGTGGGCCTCCAGCCCCTCCACCAACATAGCCAGGGAGATAGAGGGATTCCTTTCGTAATGTTGTGACACTCACGTTGCCTTGGTCCGGTCCTGACAGGAGACCCCACAAAACGCGGACATCGGCAAGGACTTTGTTTGTCTTCTCAACGCCCCAGAGAGGCTTGGAAGTCTCGTTGGGGTAGACCTTGTTGGTTATGTTGGTGATGGTTAGCCCAGAGAGATCGTCGCTTCCGTTGAAGCGGAAGGAAACGGTCTTGATCACGGCTTTCGAGGTCGAAATGCAAGAGTACAACGGGATAGTCCACTTGGAGCCGGGCTCGAAGACGACTGACTCGCTCCCGCCTCTCCGCCGAGGTGCTCCATAGAGCAGTCCACATGCGGCGGCAAAATTAGTGATGTTCGCAATATCCTGACCACCGGCGCCTTGACAAAGAAGTTCTGGCAGAGTGTTAGTCGACGAAGGAACAAACGAAAAATATCAAGGCATCTTTGACTCACCGGCACTAGAAAAGTTTGACTGAGTGATCTTGAAAGGATTTGAATATAGCGGCGGAACTGATGGAGTGCTGGAGGTGCTTAGATTGAGTGAAGAGCTATAATTGTCGTATATCCCCGTCCCCTGATCCAAACCGGATAAGTAGTACCCGAAAAGCGTCGACGTCGTGAGAAGATCAGGGCCCAGAGAACTGGACATGCCGCTGAGTCCCGATGTATTGGAGGACATGAGAGGAAATGTCTTTCCCACATGAGAATTGAGGTATTCAAAAGCATGAGAGTCCGGGTCGCTCTGATTGGCAAAATTGGTCACGTTCATAAACGCCATGGACCACGCATTGTTGATCCAAGCGGCCTTGTATGCGCGCAAATAGAGGTCTGGGTTTTTCTGCGTGTCCTCGCGGTCCCAAAGTGGATACTTTTGAATGAGGTTCGCAAAGCCCCCTCGATCTGTCAGCACCAGATCCGAGACTTGTCTCCCAAAGCTAGTGTATACGGGGATGGTGAAGTCCAGAGTGAGGTTCGTATCGACACAGACCGATTCGGGCTCCACGAACAGCAGGTCTTCAGACCATGCGCTGCCGAACGGCGACACGGGTGGTGCGCTGTGATTCCTGAAACCGATTCCGCCGTTCTTCATGTCCACCACCAGGCCTTCAATGGCAAGATAGTCATCTTCCAAGACCATGGTAGAAATCTGTCGGTATGCAGTGACAGGGTAGGCCGATCCATTGTCTGCTACTAGTGCGCTAGGATTGTCGTTGATTTGCGACCAAGTGTACGATCGTGACTGGATGTCCCAAATGCTCGAGACGGATTTGGGTTGGGTCGCGAGGCCGCTTCCGAACACATCAATGACATATTGAGGTACATGGGAGTCGTAGTAATCTGCTGAAAAGTATTCTCCCGTGGCATTAGTGAAATAGGTTATGGTCTCAGGCGAGTTCGGACAATTGGCTGGGGTCCATCCCCCACAGATACGGCTCCAAGGGAGGTAGGTCCTTGGGGGAGTTCCAAGACCAAATTCTGACTTGTCTGCAATATAATGAAAAGCGGATGTGGTTTCTGTGTTGCTCGAGATGATGTCCTGGTAGAGACCAAGAGGGGTAACAATGGCCGCCACGCCGATCAAGATGGTGAAGAATGACTTCAGGGCGGAGATGGTCACCACGCGCGCAGGGACTTGTGAGGTCGCCGCAGTGTCTCCAGAGAGAATGGTGGGCCAGTAGGAGGAATGCAGGAATCGACCGACAACAGACCTAAGAGGGAGATGAATCAAGACTCGTCGCGCAGGTTAGGCGGTGCCTCCACGTACCATCCAACCGCCGTTGCAGTTGCAGCCGAATGGTTTTCATTGAGCAGCCCAAGAAGAATGACAGGTAAGGCTGTAGGAACGAATATCTGGACTGAATGATGATATTAGCCATGTAAGAGTCCCAATCGAGGCTCTGTGGTGCTACCTACCAACGAAAATGGCAGCGGCGATGATACCGGACACGTAGCCGACGGTTAGGTTGTTCAAGTCAACCATCTTAACGAGATGTAAATCAACATTCCTACACGGTTTTCGTAAGGCGACACGCTTTGCAAGAGCCACAAGAGGACCGTGGCCAAAAGAATGACAACCAAAGGTCCAAAAGTCTCCCGAATGAAAGAAGTGTAGGGGAAGTATTCTTCAGCGAACGTATATCTCTTCAAAGACTCGCGACGCCACATTGTGGCCTTCCTACCTTGTACGCGGTACATATACTGCAACGCCTGGATTGCGATCAGTCGGCAGCCAATGACAAAATCACGTCTATTCGAGAACCCGAATACGAAGGCTAGGTGACTTGGTGACGAGCTACGCCCGCTGGCTTGAGCCGCCGTTTTAGAAATGCAATCTAGACAAGCAGCGAACACTGGGGCCAAAACCTTGTTGCACCCCTCGAGGGTGGCATGTTGACGATCAACTTTCGTCTCCCGGAGAAGGTACCCGTCCCCGTGTGCTTGGTTTTGTCACACGATGTTGCTACTAGCCATTATTCAATGGTATTTCGTCACCGTCTTGTGTAATCGTATTCGAGACTTTTTGAGAAGACAACATATCTTGAAAGATCGGGTCGCGGATATCCCACCCCTTTTGCGAATTGATGCCCTGTCGATCAAAGGTGCCGTGGCAGCCCAAGAAAAACAGTGGCTTGTCCAAGACTGAGTGAAACATACCTAATTGACTCTTTGACCGGGGTGTCCCATGAGGAATCGATTTTTTTCCGCGGAGGGTGATGATTATTGGGTGAACTTCACCTGCTTTACCAGGTTCAATTGGGATGGTGCTTTACTCCGCACAGGTACCGACGAGGAGTAGGGACCTACAGGCAAAAATGGCTAACACAAGACGCCCTTTCAGCATTTTAATGGTGATTCGTCTGGCTGTGATTGGTGTTGGACAAGACTCGGACTAAATGTTTTGCCGCCCCCGACTTTGAGGAGCAGCAATGTGGATGCCGGGCTGGGCAAAACTTCCATCCCCACAGCGGGCATGAGGCTCATTAATCAATTAACTGACCCTAAGACCTTGTACCTACGAGTACCGAGTACAGAGTACTCGGTATGGATACTCCAAGGCTCACTAGCCTAAGTCGAGGCTTTTCCCCCCTCAGGTTAATTGCACGGGACCCAAATGAATGGGCTAGGAAAAGAGTTTCCGCCCTACACCCAACAGAATAGGCTTTTCGATCGACAGTCTACTTATACTCCTACCCTACAGACTACTATAGCTTTTGTTTCCGCGAATACGAGCACATCGAGACAAACAAATCGCATGAGATGTGTGGTCAGTGACTCCCTATCCCTCCCTCCCCCAACATGGAGCGGCCTGAAACCAAAACCAATCAGTCCTGAAATGGCGTACCGAAATTTCCACTGCCTAGAGGCACGAATGGAGGCGACGGATCGAACAGGACATGACACTTCTGCATCGTCATGGCTTTATCTGAGGGACTCGTCAAGGCAGAGAATGTCCTGATCGACAAAGACGAGGGACCGTGGTTGATCGGGTTGAAGAGCAGAAGAGCATCTGGCAGAGACGATTCAAGGAGATTTGTAGGGTCTGCGCCGTTTAGTCGAGTTATCGAGTCTCCAACAACAGATGCATTTCTCAAAGGCAAGAACACTTTCTAAGATCCTGTATGTCATTGTCAGAGACAGGATGAGACTTGACAGCTGTCACAGCCACCAGCCATGTCGAAGTACACGGGGGCTCAACATCCTCCACCAAGCAGAAGAGTAAGGGGCTTATCCCTGAAAGGGAGAATCGAATACATGCCGCCCTTTCTGCGGATACCAGCTCGCTCTGTCGAAATAACTATCTACCTTTCATTGTACGCTATGGATAATGATGTTTTCCCTCACCAGCAGCTTCTCATCAATCTTCCCCAGTCTGTTCGACCGCCTCTGTGTTCTCCCACCATCCTATTTCACCTGTGCAACCCCAAGATACCCTTCAACACCCAAAATATAGTCCGGACAATCCACACGATGATTCCCAGCAATCCTCTCACCATTCCCAATACACGCATCGCTAGCGTGCTCAACGCAGCAAAGATGATCAAGTATAGCAGGCTCCTGCCCACGTCCAGTATAAATCCACCGGCAGTCTCCCCTTGGCTGACATGGAATTTGATCTTCCCAGTCTTGGAGTATACAAATATCATCGCCCATAGACGCCACCCCGTCTTTGTCATGAGCTGCGCCATTGCCCAGCTTCTCTGACCCATTTCTTTCCCAACGGTGATGATCTGAGGGTGATTGCGAATCCACATCTGGCCAGCTTGAAAGGGTATGAGAAGCACTTCTCCAATGGCACCACAACTGCCATAGGAGGCCAGTGATAAAAAATTCGGGACCTGCAGCTCGATAGTGGTGGAGCTCGCACCACTGACATTGCGGCTTTTCGAATGGCCATTCTCACTGGACTTGGAGCAGGCCATTGCGAGGGCGAGAGGTGTGGCAACGCGGAGCCGAGAGCCTCCGCTTGCGGCGCGGAGATATTGAGCGTCCCTATTACTGGGGCGTGAAGTGACGCCAGTCCCAATAATGGGTAAACTTGAACTTCTTTTCCTTCTATGAAAAGTTGGGCGCGGCGCAGAAACTCTGTGTTGTGATGCCTCGATGGCACCGAATACCGCCGCCAACGGCTGTTTCGTTCTTTTCTGCCATGGTGACTCCATGGCGCTCACGGCTGCTGCCACTGCACCTGGTAGCCGTTTGACCGAGTCATGAACAGATTTCATCGAAGGTAATGGCGGGTGCAAAGTCAATTCACTAGCGCCAGCTTTAGACAAGGCTGCCTGAATATGGTTGCCAGACTTGGTTACCTCTTCCTTTTTGTGCGACCTCTTCAGTGCAGGTTTGAGGTCAGCAAGCCGTGTGAGCCTGCCTCTCTCTTGAGGCTTCTCTATCTCCAAATGGTCTTGCGCTCCCAAATCACTAGAACTGGTTGAACTCCGAGCGTCCAAATAGAGGTTGCTCATACCACCAGATGGCCATGGTGGGCTCGGGTGTCCGAGACAACCTTCATGACAATCTTGTTTGCAGCACTCTGGGCAGCAGATCGTATGATCACGTTCGTCGACGACATTGACGTTGTTGTGCAAGTGACTCATGATAGCTTTTTGGGCTTCTGCGTTTTGTTGTGGAGCTACATCCTGGCGCAATTCTGGCAGTGGGCTTCCCCTTGGATGCAAACGTTCAGTACCCACGCTTGCTCTGGCGACGTCCTTCTGGAGGGCGGACATAGGGGTGACACTATCCGAATTGAGAAGCTTGACGTCCTGGTTGCAATGGCTGCATCTCCTCTTCAGGCCGGCGCCGCTCGCGCTCACTGCTGCGTGCTGGGGTTTTGTATCCTTCGACGCGGCGGGCCCTTGGAAGGGTTGTAATCGTGGTTTCAGTGGTTTTGGCATCAGACTCGTTTCTGTCACGAATCCGTGTTCTCCTGCTCCAGGCTCCACACTCTGTGACATCAACATCTGGCGGGGTTTTACGTCTCTTGATTCTGGCTGATTGCTTGTCGGCACGATTCTGGGTATCCGGTACATCTCCTCCCTTGTGATCAATGGGGGCCGTGCTGCTTCCCTGGGCCTGATCCTTGGCATTGGGACTGGCATGAAGGCATCGGCACTCCGGTTCATGTTGTTGTTCATGATGGTGTCTGTGCCAGTTAACGGAAGTGGTTTCGGGTGGAAAGCCTGCTGGCCACGGCTGGCTATCCAATAGTCGGGCGGCTGCGGCTGTCGGAGTGGTCGGCTGGGCCTTTGAAGACGGCGCGCACCCATAGATATGTCTGTGGACATGGTAGTGATATTCGACCGTGGATTGAGGTTTTGTCTCGTTCCATCTAGAAGTTCTACTCCCTGTAGGGGCGGAGCCCTTGGTCCTTTGACTTTGGGACCACTGGTCTGCGTCGACGGCAATAGGAGCTTCGGGGGGTTGTCGTACTCTGGGATTGGCATCACTCTCTCCCCCATAGGTTTGAGGCGCGTCGCCTCCGGGGCTATTGGGTAGATTGACTTCCTCCCGCGACCGTGTGGATGCACGAAGTCGCTTGCCCTCGGCCCCTTCGGAGGCTCGCTGTGCAAGGGCTGAAATGCCGTCATGCTCGTTTCCTTCACTCCCTCTGAAGTAATCGGGTACGGTGTCTGCTCCGGGATCGACCAGAATTGGCCATTGTTCATCGGCAGACATGGTAGTTCTTTTTCGGCTGTATGATGGCCAGAGATGTTTGAGATTTTTGAATTTTGGCCGTCTACTTGCTGGTCTGCTTGTGGAACTCCTAAAAAAGGAGCCTCCCCAGTTTGACTTGCAGTATCTGATCTAGAGGTCGGAATCTTTGGTAGAGTCTTCTCCATTGTGTAAGGTTGGAACAGGCGTCCTTTCACAATATCAGGTGCAGAGGAGAACCGTACTTCGCTGCTGAACATGGGGTTCTTTCGGACGGTATCTGTGCTTCCGCTTGTCCCTCGCTGAGGATGCGCGCTTGGATTGATTGCGCTTCCAGCTGGAGGACTCCCAACAGGTTTCCGCTTAATCGGTCTGTTTATGGTTATACCGTCCAGGATATTGGCTTGTTGAACACCGCCATAGGCAACATCCTCTTTCATATCCAGTCCCAGCGACTTCTGATAAAGATAGGGTTGTTCTCCAGGAATGTAGGCTAGATTCGTCGCAGACCCATCTTCCCCTCTTCCAAGATTAAGCAATGAATCCCGCTTTTCCTGGGTTGCGAGCTTCTGTGGTATCCTCAGGGGTTGATATTGATGCTCCAAAGGCTCATCTATCAACGACGTTGGCTGGGGCGTTGGTTCATCTAGACCCAAGCTGACCCATTGGTCACCTCTTTGCCGCCATCGACGCGAGGGTACTTGGCTCCCAATCCTAGACAAGTCATTTTGGTTCTGGTCAACGGAGTTGCTAGCGCTGTGGGATCCTGGCGTAACAACTCCGGTTCGGGGGTTCGCACCTCGGGCGAGAAGGTAGTCATCGCTGTTGACAAAGCGGTGCATCTCCGAATCGGTGGCCGCGGTGGCTGCGGTGCCTTTTTGGACCTTTTGAACCGAGTAATCGTCCAAAAAACCACGATTTCGGCGACCCAAGCGGCTTGAGACGTCGTGCACAGCATCAAGCTCCGGCACGGTCTTCAGCTTGTAGGAGTCAAACCCTCTCTGAGAGCGATGGTCTTCATCGAAGATCGGTATGCCCTCGGCACTCCGCTCTGCAAAGTGCTGTGGTTGCCGGTCGTCAATACCGTCGGCGTAGAAAATGGCACTTCGTTTCACCGGTTCTTGGTAGAAGGTACTTTGACTGTTGCAAAATTTGGAAGTGTGTCGTAACGAACGCTGATGTATGAAGCTGACGCCTTCTTTCTCAGATAAGGTCTCCTTTTTGACGTTGAATGAAGCTAGTGAGGATGAGAATTTATTGAAAAGACGAGAGGTAAAAGAAGGTGGACCGTTAGGGGAAGAATGTGGATGTTTCACAGGCATTGTAGAAGACCTGGGTGGTTGCTATAACATGTACGGTACTTCATACCATATGCTGGTCTGTGCACCAAGCATGGTGGTGAGAACGTCACACCATAGTGCCGTTGGTATTTTGAGAGACGGTTACCATGACGGTGGAAGATCTGTGGGCAGAGTCATGCTGCTGTTGCGGAAGGAACAACCCGAATTGAATTCGCCAAAGGGAGAAACCGGGCCCTCCCCTGAATGGCATTTACGGAAGAGCATCATGCCTTTTGTTTGGATGACTCGTACATCTATCAGAAGCGACCGCTCTCTCTGCGATAGCTATCAGGTTGAAGTTGAGCCCATCTTTGAGTAGCCGCCGCAGCAGGGACACTCATTCTTTTGTCCGGTGAACCCCGTTTTTCTGGACTCGCCATCCTATTCTCACGAGAAAAATGAGCTGACGCACTTTTCCGAAGAGGAGACGCAGCATGAGAATATACACCAAGACTTCCACCCTCGCCCCCGGTTGCAGTCGGTCGAAAATTTGGTTGGCGCATTCCTCCCAGAGGCCTCACGGATGTGCTGGGGTTGGTATTGTGGATCGGTGAACGGAGATCCGGGGTAGTTAGGCGTTGTCGAACATTGGTACTGGCTACTGCTGTGTCGGGATCTGTATACTGCGCGTAGTTGGGATTTGGATTGGGTCTGAAACCACGATTGATCACCACCATAGGTGTATAGACGTCGACCTTATTGTACTTTTCGTCGCGACTCGCGCTGTATGAAGCTTGTTCACTGAACTGAGTCCCCACATCTCGATACAGTGGCTGAGTCCGTGGTCTCACATATTTTGTGTCGTACTCATGCAATACTTCTTTAGAGATCAAGGCTGAGTCTTTGACCTGAGCGGAATAGCTTGACTGAAGCAAGGAAAGCTGTGCGGAGAGGAGCATTGCGACAAACATGGCTGTTGCGATTGTGACGCTAGGTCTAGGGTCGGAAGGGAGAGTAGGTAGGAAAAGCCAGTATACGAGGATGTGGCCAGGACTGAAATAGCAGAACAAGCGTAGGGATATAGGTAAAGGGTCCCAGATTGCGACTTCCCAGACGTCTCTTGTTGGATCAGGATGTGCCCTTGACCGAGCTGACTCTGTTCCTATGATGCGCGACAGGTATTGCAGTGGAGAGGAGGAGACCGGTGAAGAATCGACTCGCACTCGTTTGGCGGAAGGGGTGCTCGGCACGTCGTCGACGGATGTTTCGAAAAGGCGATAATGTCTTTTCCGCCAAAAGGTGTAGGTAGCATTGACAGTACAGAACAATGTCAAGAAGTGAACAATGAAGGTAGCCTATGAGATATTAGATTCTAGGTGGTCTTTCATTTCGGTGACAGCACCTACCAGCCAGGTTGTCCACGCCACCCCTGGAATATCGCCAAACACATCATCATAGCTGGTCGATTTGGATTTGGAGTTGGCCCTCGCAATGACAAAGGAGACATTCAAGACAATACCAATAGGTGCAGCCCATTCTTTTTCCAGTTGATCCCAGCCATTGGACTCAAGTTCTTCTGACAGCCACAGGAGGAAGTCGTAGGGGTTCAGGTAGCCCTTGATACGTTCCGCGAGAGGCTGCCGCCTCACGAACTTGGGCATTCTTTCGATGAAAGGAGATGCGAAGAAGGCCCAGAAGACATTCTCCTGTAGGCGACCAGAGGTAGAACGATGCGATCGCGAAGTGTCGCTTTGAATGCCAGTGAAGTGAGGGTGAAATTTGGGGTGCAGTGGTGTACCCAGGAGTAGGCAGTAAACAATGACGAAATGCAGCCAATCGGAAATGTCATTTGCCCGCCGACGCAACTGCGCTCAGCTGCAAGGTACATTCACTTCTGCAGAAACAGCTTCAATCTATTTCCAAAACTCAGGCTCCAACGGTTGGCAACTATGGCAGCGCCAGTGTCGGCATACAAGGTAATTGTATTGTCTCTGTGAGGAGATCTTTGCTTACCAGCGCTGTCTAGGATCGGCAATTCGTTGCTGTCATTGGTGACGAGGAGTAAGTCCCGCATCTACTGCTAAACAGCTGACCTCTCAACTCACTTTGGTGTTCCAGCTCAGTCACTGGCTTGTTGCTTGCTGGCATCGGACATATTACCGACCCTCCTGACTCACAGAAGAACTTTCTCGTGTGCGATTCAAAGACAGAGAAGCCTCAAATCGAGCAAGCTTTCAACAGATTTACCAAAGAGCGGAAAGATATTGGAATCGTCCTGATAAACCAACACGTATGATAAGGCGGGAGTTTTGGGGTAGAATTGCAACGCTGATCTTGCTATAGATTGCGGAGCAAATCCGAGACACTGTCGACAGGTTCCAGGACCCGTTCCCTGCGGTCCTCGAAATCCCGAGCAAAGATCATCCTTATGACCCCGAGAAAGACAGCGTCCTTCGGCGTGTGAGAAGACTGTTCGGTGAATGAATTAAGCAAGCATATGCCCACACACAGAGCGCTGCAATTCATGATCTATTGCCGCGACCATATGCCACAGATTTTGGCTCAAACCGCCCAAATGGCAAGCCACTGGACGGAATCACACCCAAGATTTATCTTTTATGAGGGCAACTCCAATAGATCTACAGCCATGATTGTTCGATGAAAACTATGGTGGCCAGCGACTGATCGGAACTTCAAGATAACATTCATCAAGTCGACGAAGAAGTATCGATTAAGTTGTTGAGCTCTCAATAACAATATGATGACCTCTTTTACAAGCCTGGAATCATTCTTTCCTCACCACTCTGCTTCATGAATGCGAGTTCTAATTATCTTTTGCTCACATAGCTATATTATTCTCACATACCTTCTACAAAGCTTCTCTGACCGGCGGTCCTAGCAGCGACAACTCACAAGGCCTTTCTTTCCGGGCAAACATTGAACCGGTGTATTCGAGCACTAGGCGTACGCCGACAGCACACGTTCATTCGTTCCTCCTTCTCTGCTGGATTTTGAAAGGAGTGCGCGGACAACCTTCCTCAATCACGCATGATATCTTATTTATGAATGATGGGCCACGAAAACCACCAAAAAAACTCACATTGTGAGAAAAACCCAGAGTTGCGGGGTGTTTTTTTTTTTTTTTGGTTTCACATTCGATTAGCTGAGTGATGATATCTTATTTGCTCCCACCGATCACTTTTCCTGGACCAGAGCTCCTACGCATTTCCCTGTAACCACTATGATTATATCCGAAGTCAACATATCACCCGAGTTAGGGAGTTACAAAGTAGAGCTCCTACGTTTCAATGATGCTTGGCTATTCACTTCTGGCTGCGAATTAGGGAGATGAGGATGAGGCTGTAGACAGGACTTTGTTTCAACATCACTTCGCAAGTCGAATGTGGACAGAATTTGGCGAGAGATATATTTATCTCGAGTTATTACCGGTGAATGGATATGGAGTGGGTCCTCCTTCTTGCTTGAAGCCAGGGAGTCCGCCAGCGATTGAATCCAAATGGACGCCGGCTGGGTTTGAGTGACAATGAATCAGGCGGCCGCTGGTACTCAAACATCCACTCCCAGGGTCTATCTCTACACCGACCCCAAGTTCGGATTCTTGAGCGATGGAGGGCATCACCACGATTATCACCTGGCCCTCGATGCCATGAAGAATTCCGCTCTTGCCATGCTCGACGAGAAATGAAGCTGCTGAATGCACCATGTGGGAAGATATAGCAGACGACTTGTTGGCAAATCTGCCAGACCAACTAACTTCATTTCTCTAAGTATGAAAACCTTGGTCAAAGGCACGGGCACAAAGTCGCAGAGTCAAGGTCCCAATCCATAAGGGTCACAGACCTCGACTCGGAGCAGCGCATTTATGCTATCATCTAATATCAACGTTCCTCTTCATGTATGGCGAGTAGACCATCACTGGATGCCTTTTTTAGGTAGGATTGATGGACGTTTGTGCTCTCCTGAACAAGCCACACTCAGCTCACCTCATGAGGGCTTCAGGGCTGTTGACGAATCCAGACAACCCATACAAGTCCACCGTTCACCAAAAATGATATGTTTGAGACAGACAGGAGACTAAAGAGTATGTCAAAAATAATGAATCCTGCAGTGGACGAGAATGTAGAAAACATGGCATTGAGACAGCTCCAGAAGGGAGCTAATTATTTCTTGTATTTTAATGGCCTTGCGGGTTGAGACAAGAACAGACGAGGCTGTACCTCCTTTGTCCAAAAAAAGCTTGTGCCTGCCAACTTTGGTATAAACCGCATGGTGGGGGAGAGGTTGATGTTTCACCACTAAATAGAGGATTGAGTCTTTGCCACACAAAACAGGATGACTCTTCCCACCTTGGCAAGATCGGTGGCATCTGGGACTAGCTAATATTATATTCTCCTCGATAGTAAATGTGTAATATGTGTGATATAAGTACTTTCCTTTCCAGCGCAAAGACGAGCACAGCCAGACCATGAAAAGTGAAGCCGAGCATCAAAGAAATGACAACAGTCTTACACGTGGGAGACGGGAAGGTCGAAATCTCTACGTCCAGGCTCCTTCTCCGAGGTGCAAGAGCAACCACTAGCGATGAGACAGCCCTGTTCGAAGCATTCTCAGATCCCGAGGTGATGAAATACATGTAAGTTGGCTCTTCGCTTCCTAGTGCTCCCCGGCCCTTGGTCATGAAAATCTTCGATTCGAACATATCCCATAACAGAAGACTGCAAAGGGGTTCGGATCCGCACACTTGCCTTTCATCCACTGCGAAATGGCTCTCTACGATGCTCGAGTCTCGGCAGAACGGTGTCACAGACTTCCTCATCACACTCACCACTTCGACTCCAGCACATCATCCCGTTGTCGTGGGCAAGATCGGCGTCTGGAAAGACCAGGAAATCGGATTCTTCCTGGTCCGCCATTACTGGGGTCAAGGTATTGCACGAGAAGCGCTTGATGCTGTTATTCCTTACTTGTTTGGTCAGGCAGGGTTGAGCGAGATTACGGCGGATGTGGATCCGCGTAATCAGTCGTGCTGTGGGCTATTGAGGAAAGTCGGATTTGTGGTAAACGGGTTCGAGGAGAAAACATACAAGGTTGGGGAGACATGGTGTGATAGTCTGTACATGAAATTGGAGAAGGAAACATGGCGAGAAAAGGTCGGTCTGATCTAGTGATCAGTGTCGGTTGTGCCATCCATACCCCATGATCCCTTCCTTGACTGAAATCGAAATATCTTCGTCCTGGTCACTGCGAGACCCAGAATGGGAATTAGCTTTAGCGAGGCTATAACACCAAGATGAGCAGGCACATAGAAGCTTTGGATAGCGGATGTTTTGACGAGGCCCGTCAGCCAGGTGTAGCGATGAGAGAGCCCAAACTACTACACTTTGATCTGGTTGAGCAGGAATGTGAATCAGTGACAGAAATTATCTCGGCTGTCATCGCTTGAGCATGATTTCTTCATTCCACTGCTTTATCACCAAGTCGAGGTAGGCAGAAAGAGGATATAGCACATTGAGAAACTTCCCCTTTCCGAAAACAGTTGAAATTGTCACAGTTCCGGAAGCTTGCCTCGCGAATCTGGAATCGACGGATCTGCACCGTTCGCTAGTAACAGTTTGATCAGACCTTTGTTCTTTGATTTTGCAGCTTCGTGCAGCGGAGCGCCGACCCCTAGGCATTCAAATTGGAGATACGAAGCAGAATGATTGCTGAACATCACTTGATTGATCGAGGCGCCCTTGTTTAGCAAAAGTTGGATAGTTGCTTGCGGGCGCTGGTGCCGTACGGCGAAATGAAGAGGCTGGCCGAACTTGACAGAAGCACCCGCGTCGAATAGATATTCAGTATTTCCAGTCTCGCAGCTATTACGGCGATTGACAGTGGTGTTATATCGAATCTGCACCGTGCATTGGGGAGGGCGCCATGAGCGATCATCCATTTCGTGGTCTCCATGTCATCCAAGGCGTAGCTGGGTAAGTTAGTACGTTATGCCCGAGGAAGTATTATGGATACTCACGACAGCGGAGGAGGATAGTCGCCCCTCACTTGCTTGTTGATGTCAAATCCATCGTTCAGAAACAGCTCGAGGATCGGGAAGGATTTGTTTTGAATGGCCTGGACGAAATCGGTCATTGTTGGTTTTGCACCTTCGTTTAGGAGATCCAATACTTCCATAAACTCGTCGTTTCGAACGGCAAACTTCATCCGCTCGTACTGGTCCATTATAACGCAATAAAACCCAAGCTTTCGTACAGCTGTGAAGAGAGAGGAGATGTGGTACAGAGGTAAACCAATTGTCTATTTATGCTAGTTACCTCGCCGACCGGTCCTTTTGACGCCTGCTGCGTCTCGCTGAGGCAACAGGGGCAACAGGGGCAAGCGGTTGAAGATTTGCCTCCTGAGTCTTCTGTGGACACGTTCAAAATGCCCTGTCCTCATCGGAAAAGTCACGAAAGAATACAATGCTCAACGCCACTGACACATGACTACCCCGACTCTTCTGAACACGATTAGATCTCAGCAGACCAGGCCCGTTCTTTAGCTCGTTGAAGCTGCAGGAGCAGTTGGGCACGGGCGTGCTTCCTGGTGGTAATTTTATTTGTGATGATGGCATAAAATAGATGGACACTGTAAGTAGCTCAAGTTGCCTGACGGTGCGAATGCGCAGATTGTGTGTCTTCAAAATGCCTGCCGTCTGATTGGCTACGCCAAACTGCGCTTTTGCACCATCCCCACAGCCGTACCACCTCTTCTGAGCTCAAAGCTCATTTTGCAGCACTGCACGACGACGTTGAACCTGCTTCCATAGCTTGATACCGCCCGTCTCAACATCGCTGCGCTAGATATTCCTACGCAAAAGGCAGGATGCCTTCCTACGAACACTTTCAAAGTTCCGGCCGGACGCCCCTGCGTGTCTACAACAAGCAGCCAACATACGAGACCTACATTTCACCCTATGGACCAAAGTACGTTTCCTACTCGCCCTCTCATCTCCTGTTCTTGTAGATCCCTCTTGCCGGTTCTGAGCTGAATTTTGATCTCTTCCAGAACTAAACACGTTCCCAACCTTATGGGCTTGAGCCTGCCAAAAGTTCTCCGTTACGGCTCTATTGCTTCAGGTTTCGGCGTCGCGGCTGGCGTCTTTGCGATCTTTTTCTTCGGCGAAATCCCTCGCGTGAGGCAAGATATTCTGTCCAAGGTTCCCGTCATCGGCAACTACTGGATCAGGGAGGTGCCGCCGGAGGATAACCCTTTCTAAAGGAATTATGCTGGAAGAGGCTTGGGAGCTTGGGAACCAAGAGTTGCTGCAGATGGAGGGAAGGGAGCTCAAGATATGGGCGAGACCGACTGGGAATGATTGTACATATTAGATCGCGGAGAGCCTGTTGCATGGACTGGACGGAATGTCTTGAAGGGTCGAAAGATCACCTCCCTCGGAGAGGAAATACACATCAAGACCATGGATCAAATCAATGAAAGTCGTGTTCTCACGGCTTCCATCAGCCACTGGCAGATGCAGAATTACAGTACATCAGGGCTGTAGATTCCCATTTCTGTTCCTGCGGATTGTATGTACAACTTCTGAGACAACCTTGATCGGCACTAGACTCTATCGCCACGTTCAAAGTATACCCATTGACCCGTGGGGGTCTTTTCTTCCAGATCTTCCCATCTAAGAGTTGTTAGCGAGCACCACAAGATAAAGTGAGAACAATGACGACGCAAGTCGAGAAGACTTACACTTGATATTGTAGCATTTCTCCCACCAGGTCCAGCTCGCCCTCGGCAACTTGGATAACTTCTTCGATCAAGCCCGCACCAATCTTCTGCTCGATTCCCTCGATCCTAGCGTTGATCAGCAATGGTATATCCGACTTGAACTCCAAAACGTACTGCTCTTTTGTCAATGGTGGTTCCACCTCCAGGTCCTCTACAGTGGGCGGGATCCCTTCCTTGTCCTCCAGTTCCTTCTCTCGCACTTCATCACTGACAGCCCTTGCTTTTGCCTCTGCCTGAGCCAATGAGTTTGGTCCCTCAAATTTCGCGTCCTGCCTCGTGATCTTGCCGTCCCAATTGTCCACTGGTTCCACATGCAGTTTCTCACTACCCAACGAGCCATCTTCGTTGAGCAGTTTATTGTAAGCAGAGGGGCTGGCTTCGATCTGCTTGCGCACCCGTTGCAGCCATTGTTCGTAACCCTCGGGTTTCACGGATTCGATTATCTCCAGCCGCTGTTTTGTGAGTGCCTCGGTGGACTGACGATAAACGGAGCTTTTGGGCAGTTGGGCGAGTTTATTGAGGGTTTGTCGGTAGGTGTAGATGAGGGCAGGACGAGGTGATGGATGTGTAGTGAGCCCTGTTAGGCCTGTTGGCGTGTTGGGTTCAAGATATTTCGAGGCTGATTTGACAGTCGCGAAAAGCCGCGACGTCGCTCGCATCGTGAAGAGTGTCTGAGAGGTTGGGTAGGTGAAGAAGAATAACCACTTTGCAACGTTGCCCAACGTGGCTGTTCACTGAAGAGTCTTGAGCTTCAAGCTTCAATTATTCATTGACGTCGAGGAGCGGCGGACGTTTAGCGATTTGTGGCTAAGTGGTTAACCGTAATTAATACCGTGGACTGCAGGACACAGAGATGCAACAGCCACGGATTGTGTCGCCGAGAGCGGTAGGCTTGATGGCTTCTGCTCCCTCAGCCTTGATCTGCAGGGCACCAAGCCCGCCGCCGGCCGCCGCCACAGTCGATCCACACACATTAGGTATGTTACGTGACTGGAGGGGGATTCGATGCATCTTGGGCGTTCCAGACCCGGACAACAGAGTTCTCGATGGGCCCTTGCGACTGGCCTCAGTCTGCGCTCTCCTGCGCTCCCTTGATAGCAAGGGACGGTGCTCGATGTTCTGCTACAATTCTTTGCTTTCAAGTGGGGCAGCCTGCTTGGTTCTCGAACCTACCGCATTACAATTCTTAGAATCTTGACTGATTCTTATCCTCGATCCGCGTCGCCTGCGCTGTACGCTCCCCTTCCTGCGCCTTCCGCTATGGTGAGAAGAAGTTGTTCACTGGCTCTCCTCGAGGAGAGAGCTTTGTGTCTGTGAGGTGCAAAAGAAACTAGAGAACAGGAGGACCTCTAATACTCGCGACACGCCATGGTGGTCACGACAGAAGGCGGTGCGGCTTTCGGCCAGCCGACCGACAATCAGATGGACGACTCACGAAGGGCTCGAGAGTTCTACCACTACTTTCAACCAGACAATCTCCTCCAACCGCACCTCCGTCGTCGCCCTTCGGTTCTCAATGTCACCAGCGACGAGGTCCCCAATCTGTGCAAGGCGCTCTCTCCCCTGTGCCAGTTGACCGCGTTCCGCTTGAAAGTCCGGAAAGCGATGATCAATGTCATGGATCGCGATGTCATGTATTTCCTGAGTGAAGCCACAAAAATCTACACAGACGAGGGCGAACAGACCATTGAATTTGTCGAAGATCCCATATTCTTGAACTGCAGCTCAGTGCCGCTCAAGGGTAAAATCTGTGAGCTGACCATTCGACTCGACAATAAAGATCATGGCGCTGTGCCCAAGTTCGTAATCAACGACCTTACGAAATCTCAATTTGCCCACATGGATATCATCTCGGGTCCCCCGTACTACAGGTTCTATGCAGGTGTTCCGATCACTACAAGAGACGGCGTCAATATCGGCAGTCTCGCCGTCGTAAGTCTCTCCTCCCCTCGAGTTCGTGTTCAAATGTTGGTCAAACACCGGGAAACCCGTCGACCGCTCTCTAGAATTCATCCGAAGTCTTGCAGCTAACACGATGAAACGTAAAGATGGACACACAAACTCGTCCAAACGGGTTGACACCTGCTGAGGAGTTGTTCCTTACCTCGACCGCGCAACAGATAATGGTTTTCCTCGAAACAAATAGACAAGCAATAGAAGGACGTCAGTCTCGCCGTATGGCTGAAGGTCTCGAAGCTTTCATTGCGGGACGCAAGAGTATCCACGGCGATAGGGCAGGATTTCTCCACAGTCCTCTGTTCAAGAAGAGGTCGAAGTTCGCCTATGGCTTGACTGTGCCACTGGAAAAGGACGCTTCTCCACCGCTAAAGTCGTCTGCGCAGACTGAGTCCAACCTCCGAAACCAAACCACCGTCACTCTTGAACATGCCGAAGATCTCAGCACCTCGGATTCCTCAGATTCAGATAGCCTGAATGGGAACTCCGAGACCGACGGTGAATCAAGGTCACACACGAAAACCTTTGCAAGAGCGGCGAATCTACTACGTGAATGCTTAGGAGATCTCGGTGAGGAGGGTGCCGTCGCATTTGTCACCGTAGGTGCTCGTCTGCGTAATTCGAGTAAGAAGAACGGAAACAATCTTGGCCAGGCTATGGGAGCCATTGACGGAGATCTTCAGTCACTGACAAAATCATCGATCATCGCCTACTCGACCCAGTCCAATCCGATCATCCCCGAGAAGGGATTAGATGAGAGGGTAAAGGGCTTAGATGGAGAATTACTCCAGGATCTTACCAAACGGTACCCTGGTGGTCGCTTATTCACACTGGAATGGAACCCTTCCTCCTCTTCCGAAGATGATATAGAGTCTTCAGGCAGACTCAGGAGCCCTGTCAATCAGTCGCGAATACCTAGCCACCGGAAACGGCTAGAAGTCAAGGCCATCCGTGCTGCCTTTCCTTGTGCGGGACAGGTCCTCTTTACTCCCTTGTGGGACGCCACGACGGGTTCTTTTGCATATGGCTGTTTCGTTGCTACAGCGTTAGAGACGCGTTCCTTCAACTCTTCTATTGAATTGCCATTCCTCAACTCTTTCTGCAGCACACTGATGGGCGAGTGCTCACGGTTGGACACGATGATTGCGGACAAGCAAAAATCCGACTTCGTCGGCACCATATCTCACGAAATGCGAAGTCCATTACATGGCCTCCTTGCCAGCGTCGAATTTCTCGCCGAAACAGATCTCTCTGGCTTTCAGAGATCCCTCATTTCTACCATTGATTCCTGTGGACGAACCCTTCTGGATACCATCAACCATGTCCTGGACTTCTCCAAGATCAACTCATTCCAAAAGCACTGGCAAGCTTCGAACAAGAAACACTCTCACGGATCGCGTCGCCATAACTTTTTAGGCCCGGAAAACTCTTCCAAGACTATATCTCATGGTGCCCCTGCACTCCTGCAACTGCTTGGCGTTATTGATGTATCAGCTGTGTTGGAGGAAGTCGTCGACGGTTTGGTCCTTGGCTATACATACACATCTGGATTGGACCTCACGGAGATGCCACGAGAAGCACCAGGCCGGGGGAAAAGAGTCCGCTCCGAAAATCACTGCGTGGACCCTGTCAAGATCACGCTGGACGTGCAGAAGGCGGATTGGACGTTCTTGACCCAACCCGGGGCAGTCCGCCGGATCATCATGAATCTCACTGGGAACGCCATCAAGTATACGAGTCAGGGCACCATCAAGATTCGACTCCAACTACAAACTTCTTCAGATGATAACAGCAACGATGTGATGGTGTTGACGGTGACGGACACAGGAAAGGGTATTTCCCAGGAGTTCTTATCTACTAAGCTCTTTGTGCCATTTGCGCAGGAGAATGCTTTGGCCCCCGGAACCGGGCTAGGGTTGAGCATCGTGCGGAGCATTATCCTGATGCTGGGTGGCTCGATTGATGTGAAAAGCAAATTAAATGAGGGAACAACGGTGGAAGTTATTCTACCTATTAGGAGACCTTTACCTGGTCAGACTTCAACTCAGACAACGCCTTTCTCCGACGGTGCCAGTGGCCTGAACTCTACTGGTAGCTCCAACGCCGACAGCTCGATTTCTCTGTTGAGAGATGAATGGTCTGACGCGACAGTAACATTCTGGCAACCGGAACTGGAACCAGACGACGACCTCGCACGCATCGTCAGATCGTACGTACAGGACTGGTATAACCTTCCGTTCCTGGACCAGCAATTATGTGACAGTTGCGCCGTTGTCATCGCAGAGGAGGAGAACTTGGATCATTTGCTCACTAGATTGGTGGCCACACCTGGCCGCCGTCCAGCGTTAGTGGTAATGTGTTCGGTTCTTTCCAGACACAGTGTGGCATTGGTGCAGTCCCTGGAGGAACGCATTTGCAGTGCTGTGGAATTCGTTTCAGAGCCTTGTGGTCCCCACAAGCTGGCTCGTAGTATACGGCTGGCTCTCGAAAAGCAAGCGGCGGTACGGTCACGGTTCTCGCAGGCGGACAACCAACAAGTGGTGCTTCCGAGTGCTGAGATTGCAAGTGTAACTCCTGGTACAACCGAGACAGAGTCCGTGGTGGAGGACTTGGCCGAGCTCGACCTCAACTCGCCTGGTGGAACTGATAACGCCAAAATGGTTCAGGCAACGGAGACTTTTGCCGCGTCCCAAGCGAGCCACAATGCGCAGATGGCAATCCATGACCCCATAACCGCTCTGCGGACGCCGAGAAATCATGTCAGCGAAGGAGAATCCTTCCCCTTTCCCTCGCACAGTCAAGAAAGCTCAAGAAGGCGTCGCGAAAGTGATCGATGGACCAACCACACGAGCCTAAGCAACCCAGCCTCACCTAATGAAGTCCCAACCGCTCTCTCCAGGCATCCCTCGCTATCAAAGCCAGCCCCGGGCAGTGTTGACCCGCATATTCTTCTGGTGGACGACAACAAGATCAACCTGAAGCTGCTCGAAACCTTCCTGAAGACAAAACGGAAATACAGCCGGATAGAGCAGGCAGAGGATGGTCAGCAGGCTGTCGACGCTGTCAAAGCAGCCGAGGAGCCTTTCGACATCATCTTTATGGACATTTCTATGCCAGTGCTGGACGGCTTTGAGGCGACCCGTGCGATTCGTCAGTATGAAGACCTTCGTGGCTGTAAACCTGGTGCTATGGTTATTGCCTTGACTGGATTGGCAAGTGCCAGAGATCAGAGCGAAGTTTTCAGCAGCGGATGTGACATTTACATGACAAAGCCTGTGAGCTTTAAAGAGGTCGGTAAACTCTTAAACAACTGGGAGGCTCATAAGAATATCGACTCAAGTTGAAACCTACGCTTTTGTGGCATAAGCCTCTTTTCTTGACAGAAGGCAACAAAAGCGCCATGGTGCTCCAACTCTCCTCCAGGAGATGTAAGTGCAGATGAACGACTTCAGGCATCCCGCCTTTCCGGGAATGCCCGACTCACTCACCACAGCAGCGAGTACGGCAATTAGGCGTGATGCCCGTTGTCCGCAGACACAAAATTGATCGCGCTGGAGGAAGTAAAACGAACGCGGCGAAGGGAACACGGGCTTTAAGCAGCTCTCCCGCCACCAGGTTCATCCTGGACGGGGGGGAGTGTGTCACTGCTAGTGATTGGCATGATCACCATCTCCGCCAGAAGCAGGATGTTGTGGGGAGGGAT